ATGCACGTTGCTAAAACATCTAATGACAACGTACAATGAACGCATGTCGCTAAAACTATTGATTGCAATGTGTAATGAACGTTGCAAAAATGTTAATGGCAACGTTCAAATGCACATTGCTAAAACGTCTAATGGCAACGTGCATTGTACGTTGCTAAAACTAACTTACGACAACGCGCATTGCAAAATGTTAACAACAACGCGCATTGAACGTTGCAAAAAAAATAAAAAAATAAAAAAATAAAGACAACGGACTGCGAATGTTGCAAAAGGATGTATTAGCAACTTTCATTAAAAAAACGTAGTCAAAACTTAATTTTGTCAACCAATAGCAATATACACTTGCTGAATGTTGCCATAAACCCCTTTTAGCAACATACAATTGATGAATGTTGCCTTTTGCATGTTGGAAAAAGGCCTTTTTTCTTGTGGTGCCATGAGAGATCTGGAGATGTTGTATCATCAGGTGGTTTGGGAGGGATTACCAGGTTAGGGTTAGGGTTTGTGCACATGAAATGTTGATGGCCGGAGGGAAACATAAATTCCCAGTGTTATTTTATAAACAAGTCCATATTATATTTTGTGAAACAGTAATAAACATGTAAATATTATACTTTATAAATTAAGAAATATTAATATGGTCAAATAGACTCATCTTCACATTGAAGGTATTTAAGAGTTTTATCACTTTCCAGAGTCACTTCGCTTTGAAAACAAACAAAAAGAGTGAGATTTCTCTTGATGCTCAAAGGACGATATGTTTGTGGGCAAGAAAAGAGGGCACTATCTCTTTCCTCAAACCCTAGCCTCCATAATTTTGAAAGAAGCACTCTATTTCTTATCTTATTCTCACTTTGCTATGAAATCCAGAGTTGTCATTGGATAATGAGAATTAGAAACCAACGTGCATAATCTATGAGGAAAAAACGATATACTTGTAAAATAGTTATTCGATAGCACGTGCTTTGGCTGTGCAATTTTTGTGAAATTATTTCAAAATGTGTCAACGTCATTATAGTTCTATTTTAATAGTGTATATTTCTTTCATCACAAATAGGTAATCTTTGTGTCAATTGTATTTAAGAGTATTTCTTTCCATAGTCACTTAATTTCAATTGTAAACCAAATCAAAGTGTTAT